CTTTAAGCACCTACAATGTGCAGGAGGACCTGAAAAGAATGAATAAGAAGTAAGCCCTGCCCTTTAGCTCATAATTTAGACGAGGAGATAAGACACGTTCCAAAAACTACTAGGGCTGCAATGATAAGATCAGGTATAAAATGCTAGGAGGAAGCACTACAAGGAAGTAACAAGCATTTCTGGGAAATGGAATCATCCTAGGAAAAGCCTTCTTCAAGGCAAATGTGGAGCAGGGCACTTATTAGGATGACCTTGAACTGACTTTGTGACTTTACTGAACTTTCCACTTTGTTTCTTTGAGAGTCGAAATTTCTAATAACTCTTTGAAATACATAAAGTGCTTTCTTTCACAAAAGCCTGGTGAGGTTAAGTAAGCCCCATTTCAATGATGAGGAAGAAGTTGCCAAGCCTCAATCTTGGATCACTTCCACCATTCAAATAAAAATAAAAAAACATTCAGACTTCTATTAGAATGTAGAGGTGTGAGGAAGCAAGCACCCGCTGCCCAGGTGCGAGGCCATGTCCAAAGCCCCTGGTCTCTTAATTGCTCCCTATGCCTGGATGCTTTGGATTTGAGAATAGTTCTTGCAATTTTCAAGAAAATCCTTGGCATTCTGTAATTATTATTATTATTATCACTATTTGTAATTATCCTGCTCCAGAGTGTCTAGACTGTCCATTTTCTCCTTCTCTGGAAGCACTTCGCTCCTTGAATGAAAGTGGAGAAAATCAACCAACCCTTCTGATTGGATGCACCACAAATTTGTGTTATACATACTCAACTGGGACCTCACTGCTGCTGGGCAATCCTGCTATACCTCTCTCAACTCACTATTGCCCTCTCCATAGCAGCTCTTCCAAACCCTTTCATCCCTCTTCAAACCTCCATTGGCTCCCCTTTCCCCTACTCTCTCAGCTGAGAGGCTTACCTCATATTTTACAGAAAAAATTGAGGCTATTTGTTATGAACTTTCTTCTTTTCCCCTCATCCTCATCACCTAACATTTAGGTGCCTTCTGCCACTTCATCTCTATGTCACATAATGAAGTGACTTTACTCCTTAACCAAGGCTGACCCCCCAACTTGCATAAACAATTCCACTCCATCCAAGCTCTTCCAACAGATTGCCCTGTCATCCCCACTCTTATCATTTATCTTCACTCTCTCTCTGTCTCAGCTCACTTCCTACAAACAAGCCTGTCTCCCCTATCCTAAATGACAAAACAAAAAACCCTCATTTGTTCCTCCCATCTATCCTATTTCTCTTCTGCCCTTTGTAGCTAAACCTCTCTCTCTTCTCAGCCCCTTACAATCTGGCTTCCAACCTTATCATTCCACCTAAATTGTTGTCTCCCAAAGTGTTGATGATCTCTCTTACTTAACCAAATCCAATGACTTTTTCTCAATCCTCACCCTCATAGACCTCTCTGTAGCCTCTGTCATTGATGATTATTCTCTTTGTTGGTACTCTTCTCTTTAGATTTTTGGGACACCGATCTCTCCTGGTTCTCCTACCTATTTGACCCCTCAGATTTGGCTGGATCCTCCTCCAGATCACCCCCTCTAAATATACATGTCTATCATGGTTCAGTCCTGTGCCCTCTTCTCTTTTCTTTACATACTACTTCACTCTGGGATCTAATCAGCTCTCAGGTATTTAATTACCATCTCTATGCTGCTGATGTTCAAGTCTACCTATCCCATCCTAAACTCTTCAGACCTCCAATCTCACATCTCCAACTGCCTTTCAGATCCAATAGACATCTTAGATTCAACATATACAAAACAGAACTCATTATCTTTCTTCCTAAATCTGCCCCATCCTTACCTTCCCTATTACTAGAGGGCAGCACCATCCTCCCAGTCCCTCAGGCTCACAACCTAGGAGTCATCCTGGATTCCTCGCTATCTCTCACCCCCACTATTCAAGCTTTAGCCAAGGCCTGTTGATTTCATTTTGTTCAAATGAGCCCCTTTCTCTCCTGGGTACTGCTACCACTCTAGTGCATGCCCTCTTTGCTTCACCCTTTGGTTATGGTAATACCCTCTTAGTGGGTCTGCCCACCTCAATCCATCCTCCATTCAGCCATAAGTGATTTTCCTTAAACACAGGTGTGACCACATCAGCCCCTACTCTACATACTCCAATGGCTTCCTATTGCCTACAGGAGCAAGTTCAAAATACTCTAGCTTTCAAAACCCTTCATAACCTAGTCCACTCTTGCCTTGGCAATCTTCTTACACTTTACTCTCCAACAGGTATTGCTCAGTCCAATGACATTGGTTTCTTGGCTGTTGTCGGTTCTGGGCTTTTAAAACCCCTATGCCTGGAATGCACTCCTTCCTCTACCTTCCTCTCTGGTTTCACTTAAAATCTCACCTTCTACAGGGAGCCTCCTCTAATCCCTTCTATTCTTATTTATCCTGTATATAGCTTCTTTTGTATATATTTGTTGGCACCTTGCCTCCATTAGATTGTAAGGTCCAGGAGGGCAAAAGAGGTCTTTGTATCCTCGGCATTTAGCACGTAGTAGGCATTTAATGTTTATTGATTGATCGAGACTGGGGCCAACCATTAGTGGTACCTGGGAGTGCTATTTCCAAGTTCGGTAGTCTTTCCACTACACCATGGGTGTTTCCCACTAGACCTATAAGGTCCTAGAGAGTGAGGCTTCCACAAAAAGGCATTCAAAACGCTCCAGGGAGCAGAGCTGTTTTCAGAGAAACAACTTCTAAGTGGGAGATCAAGCAAGGTCTTTCAGGTTTGGTTAGAACACCCATATCAAGAAGGGAAAATATTGGTGGAGCTGCCATGCAGGGTAGGCGGCGGCGGTGCTATTTGCCTTGGCAATACTTTCTGCACCTCCCGGCTTCATCACTTGCCAGCTTTCCAACTGTTGGCAAGTTTGCTGAACAGCTGGGAGGTAACATAGGACTATTAATATATATATATATTATATATATATATGCCACCTATGGCAAAGGACTGTCAGCCACTACGGGGGAGATGGGAATTCAGGGCCAACAGAAGTTTGGGATCACTCTCTTATCCACCCTCCGACCCCCGTAAAATGAAATAGAAGCAGGGGGTTTGAGAAAGCTTTTTATTTTTATCCAAAATATCAGTAACAGACACAGTGAAAGGCAACTACAAAAAGACAGGAAGTGCCCACTCCCACCACTCAGTCACAGCAGTGGGCAACAGGGAGTTTGGGTGGGGGTATCAAGGGAGGAAGAGGGCAGAGACCCAGCCAGCTGGAGTCTTGGGGCAGGTAGGGGGTGGGGATATCAAGTCAGATCTGGGAGCAACTGTCCCAAGGGAACAAGAGCATGGGCAGGTTGGGAAGAGCTACCCACCCCAGCCAGCAGGGTGGTGGTGGGAAAGGGAGTCCCCAGAAGGCCCTTCTCTCTTCACCAGGAGTCCTTAGGGATGACTGCCTGGGATTTTTCTGCTCTCACATAAGGAGATGGTTCAGGACAATGCCTTAACCAATAGTCCCAGCAAAGTCCCCTACCTCCAGGATCTCAGACCAGAGCCAACCGACTCTCAACACCATGGCTACTGCTGCCATTCAAACTGGGAGAAGGCACCAAAGGAAGAGGTCAGGGAAAGAATTGAGAGCTGAAGTCAACCACTCATGAACTCCCATTCACCCACCCAGCCTATTTTATACTCTTTAAATCACATGTTTTACTGGAAAAATATATCTCTATCTAGAACTGAGGAGAAAGAACAATATATTACATACTAAGATAAACAAAGGCCCACCATTGCATATAACACCAACACAATTTGGGATCTGCAAGAACCTATTTTCTTGATATGGGATGTTAACCTTGGAAGGGGTTGAGGTTGAGGATAATGTCTGAAGTATCAAAAAGGAAGGGATCAGAGAGGTAAGGAGTGTCCATAAATAATAAAAAAAAAATTCATAAAAATCACACCCCAGGCTCTCCCCTCATTTCAAACAAAAACAAAACAAAAAACAAAAAAAATAAAGACACATAAATAGACAGGCCACAGCAGGTGCTAGAAAGATGCTGGAGGCAAGGCCCACCCAAGCTGGTATCTCCCACCATGCACCAGGGCAGGAGCAGCCTCTGCCCCAAGGAATGAACTCTTCAAAAATTGGAAAGTTATTTTTTTAAAGTTCTTCTTCTTAAGAGAAAACTCTACAAATCACTTCTATGTAAGCATTCACCTGTGTTTGTATGCTCTCTCTACCTACTCACCCTACCCCCAAAAGAAGTTATAAGAGGAGTCCTCAACAGGCCACTACAACTTATCCCAGATCTCTTTTCCCTGGCTTTTACATAAGAGCTGCTGTTTCCCACTATCTCTTCTCCCTGATGTCACCCTACAGTAATGCACTGCTATGGGATGGTCATAAACATCTCTAGGTGTTAATAGCTCCACTTCCCTCTCCTCCACCAATTACAATGCCTTGAAGATATGGGATGGCCCTGGCCCACCCCTACATAAAAGGGCAGCTTGCCCTGGACAGAAATGAGAGACCTGTAGGACCCTGCCTATACTGCCCCCCAAAAGGATTGGGGTCTATCTAGTTCCCCTCTCCCTCCTCCAACTATACCCTCTCTCAAAAGAGACTCCAGAATGCCCAATATTAGACCAGGTATCATAAAATTCTAAAATGGGAGCAGGAAAGGATTAAGTGATTTCCTTATCCAGCTCTGACTTTCAGGCTAGAGAATTATTGCCATTTTTATATGAAACAACTGAGGCTCAGAGAGATGTGAGGAAGTGGTAAAGGAAAAGGAGGGATGGGAGAGGGTGGGGACAAGGAAGAGGAAAATTCTCTTATATAACCTACCCCACTCTTCCAAATGCAAAAGCACCCAACTTTGTGGGAAGAGGGGGAAATAAGCAGAAAGAAACAGTGGAGACATGCTGGCTGGTCAGTGCCTCCTCCTCCCACCGAGGTGCCAACCCTCCCCCTCCCCACCCCTAGAGTCTATGCTCTGCTGCCCACTGGAGGGCCTCATGCGTAGAACTCCTTCGTAGGGGCTTTCTTGTAGATGGGCTTCTTGCCCAGATCATAGCTGCCTTCATCCTTCTTTTTCATTCGGTAGATCAGCAACAGGACCAGGAATATGGCAAACAGGAGACCCACAGCACCACCAGCAATCAGAGCTGCAGAGGAGGAAGAGGAGAAAGGCATTAGAGCTCGAAGGGACTTGGGAACAGAGTAATCTGATGCAGAAGGGCCCAACCCACCCCTTTTACTGACAAGGGAGGAGAAAACAGCCACAGTGGAAAGGCTACCTGCCCCAAATCAGCACACCCTCTTTAAGAGAGAGGCAGCTCTAGGATGCAATGGATAGAGCCCCTGAACCTAGAGTCAAGAAGACCAGAGTTCAAGTCTGGCCTTAGATAAGTCCCATAAACCTCTGTGTCTCAGTTTCCTCATCTACAAAATGGGGATGATAGTGCCTACTCCCAAGGTGCTGTCCAATTTACTAGCTGAGTAAAGTAACCGAGACAGTTACTTGCCTTCTCTGAATCTTAAATGAACTACTCTACTCATCTGTAGTATGGGGATAATACTTTCACTGCTTCTTTGAAGGAAAGTTGTGAGGAAAACACTTTGTAAACCTCAAAGAGTTACTATCAGTCCAAATCATGCTGCCAGATGGTTGTGCTTATTCTGTTTGGGGGAAATGTCTTCTTTTGGGGAAAGGGAGGTCTGTCTGATTGTTGATTAGAAATTGTCTAGAACAGATAAAATGTACCTATATTTCAAAAAAATTTAAGTCACTCAACTTTAAAAGGTTACAGAAGTGGGATTCCTTCCAGTTACAGTCTATAGCTAGAGGGATGCCTCAACATACACATACACACACTCTCTCTCTCTCTCTCTCTCTCTCTCTCTCTCTCTCTCTCTCACTCACTCTGCCCCAAGCCAAATTACCTGCCAAGACTTCTGTCTTCTCAAAGATGCTGCCTTGGGCAGTGCTAGACATCGACACTTTGTTACTTATATTTTCTTCCTCTAAGGAAAATCTCTTCTTGGAGATGATCTCATTCTCCTCCAGCTCTTCAGAGTCCTTAGCATCCTGGTTTGAAGGCTCCGTCTGCTCAAGGATGTGGTTATCCAGGGGCACCTAGAAAGAGACAAAGTATCCAACAGGTTTAGGAAAGGAGGCCCAGCTCAGTGTTCACATGACAACTCTGGTCATCTTACACAAACAGAAAAAGAGAGTGACACAAACAGATACACACATATGCGCATGTGTGCAAGCATGCACACGAATACACACACCCCCCCCACACACACACACACCACTACTCACCAGAAGAGTTAGGAAGAGAGTAAAGACAATTCCAGCTGTGGGTAGGACAGATCTTCTCACTACATCGCCAGGCAACTGAGGCCCACCCTCGCCCTTTCAGTTTTATTTATCACCCCCTTCACCGAAACAAGCACTCTCTTTTCCAGCAGGACTGGATCATCTATCTCTTGAACACACTTATTATTCTCTCTCACCTCCAGGTTTATGCCTGTGATGGTTCCTATGCCCAGAGTACTGCTACCCCCCATCCCACCCCCACCTCAAGTTCCTAACTATTTTTCTTTTTCTTTTTCTTTGAAGTTGGGGTTTTTTTTCAGTACTTTGACAAAATACCCCCATAAATTTCAAAACGTCTACCATTACAAAAATAAGTCTCTACAAGTGTGATTTTCTGTCTGCACTGCCAGTAGCAAACATATTGGGACAGAATCACGTAACTTCAGTAACCTTGCAATAAAAGTACAGGATGCTTCAAGCTACACATTCAGCAGTAACAACATGAAAAAGTTTCATCTCTGTATCCCTTTGACAAAGACAGTCTTCCACAAGTTAATCATTTAAATTAGCATTCCACAAATATACATGTAATTTAGTGACTATTGTACATGAACACACAATGCTTATATACAAATTCCAGTTTGCTTAGATGTGTTGGTAAGGGAATTGCATACAATCACAGAGCTGTGTTCATGTTGGTCCCATTAAATATGCACAATACAAAAGCACAAAAGATACATCAATTTACAAAAGGCAATTATTTAAAGTCACTACAACTGATGATGCTGTTCAAGGCATTGTCCTCTCATGCCAGCATGGAACCGAGTGTATGAAGCTGTTGACCCTGACTACATTTAACTAGTTTTTTCCAAAGCTAAACTCAAGCCCTGCCTCCCCAAGAAGGCCTTCCCAATTCTCCCCCTGCCCCACATTTACCTTCAGCATTTTCTTTATACCTCTAATTGATCAGTATTCAGTACTGAGTTTGAATTATCTGTTTCCAGGTTGATGCCCTTCCTGCAGGTCCATGACATCAGAGCTTTCATTTTATTCAAACCCTGTGTCTTTTTTAACATGGAACTCAGCATTACATCCAGTAAGTGCTTAATAAATGCAGAACTGACCTTGGAGCTCATGCTACTTTAGTATCATATCAAGTTTGCCTGCCCAGCAACTAAGGATGTGTATATACATGTATATGCACATGTGTAAACACATGGGCTGGATGGGAGGCCTCTCCTACTCTCCCCATGCCCCCAGGCCATACGGGAAGGAGTAAGGAATCAAGACTAGTGCTACTCACCAATGGCTGAACCGTGTTAAAGAATGTCTCGGATGATTCGGTATCATCTATAGGGACAAAGGATGGATGTTAAGACAAAGATTGCAAGGGAGCTCAGTCTATGATTGTTTAGTCATTTCACAGTCATGTCCAACTCTTCGTGTCCCTGTTTGGGGTTTTTTTGGCAAAGATACAGTGGTCTGCCATTTCTGCCAGCTCATTTTACAGATGAGGAACTGAGTCAAACAGGGTTAAGTGACTTGCTCAGGGTGACACAGCTAGGAAGTGTCTGAGGTCAGATCTGAACTCATGAAGACAAGTCTTCCTGACTCCAGGCCTGGCACTCTATTCACTTTGCCACCTAGCTGTCTAGCCTATGTTTAGATGATGTGAAATTAGCCCAGCTCCCACACAGAGGGAGGTCTACATAGCTAGGATCTGGGCATCCCATACCAGAACAGCCTTGTCCATTTGTCTGGCCTCTCCAAAGGTCAGAAGAGAACAGGATGGAAGGATGGTATAGACAACTACAGGCCCCATCGTGGGGCCCTGGACAAAAGGAAGAGTGGCCTGCATTCCAGCTTTGCCACCCACTTGCTGTATGACTACAGACAAATCACTTTCCATTTCTAGGCCTTGGATTCTTCCTTGAAAACGAGGGGTTTAGATTAGATCATTTTAGTCTTTCTACCTCTAACAGACTTGAGTCTACAGCTGCAAGGAACCCTAGAGACTATTTAGTCTCCTCCCCTTCCATAAAAGAGGGCTTATACTTGCTAGCACAGATGTGAGGAAAACACATTAAACACATTTTAAGCCTCAAGGCTTTAGAGAAAGGGCAGAAGATAAATAAGAAATAGGGAGATGGTTTCTGGGCCTCTTGATGCCCTCCCCTCCTCCACCCACTCTTGGGTGGACCCAGGGCCTCGTTCCAGTTCGCTGAAGATCAGCCACCACGTCTGTTACTTGCCCAGTCTACCTTACCTTACCCCAAAGCCCAAGCTTGCTCTCATCCTCCCGGGCCAGTTCTTTCCCCACTTCTTCACCTCTCCTCCATGGCCCCCCTCCCCAGCTCTGCCTGCACATGCCTTACTGGTTTCAGGGTTGGTACTTCTTTCCTCCCCACCCCCGGGCACCCCAAGCTAAAGGGAGGGGCCTGTTAGGACAGGTTGGGGCCAAAGCTCTTGAGAGCAAAAGGCTCAGAGTTCAACCCCCTCATTTCTCAGGAAGAAGGGAGCAGCCGAGCACTACAGAAGCCAAGGGACTGGCTCAAGGCCACACAGTCAATGAGAGCTGGGGGTCTAAGTCTCCTGACTCCCGGTCCTGGGCTCTTCTCAGGTTCAAACATTTGTTTCCCAGAGCCAGCACCAAATAGGACCTACCCTGGAAGTATTCAGGATGAAGAGGATCGTCTTTGCCTTTAAGTTCATATGAGGGAGTTGAAGCCCAGACCAGAAGGAGAGGCCCCTCCAAGAAAGGACTAGCAGCAGAGTGAGAATATCAATGGGGCCGCCAGTGGCCGGTGTTCCCCCGATAACTTTGGTGAATGCTCTGACAACAGTCAAATAGAAAGAGAAGCCCACACCCCCCAACTCTCAGGGCCAGCATGGCCTATAGCCTTCTGGAGTCAGAATGTGGCCATTCAGAATTACCCTTCCCTCCCTCTAATCCTGGGGGAAAACTTATAACTCTCCTTCCCAAATTCCATTCAGGACCCTCAGGCCTACCTGCCCCTCTCCACTTTCCTAGAAGGAGTTTTAGGCCTTACCTGTATCTCCCGAGCCTGACAGTTCAAAGTCATCAGGCTCTTGTTCCAGAAGGGCCCCTCCCACATCCTCATCATCTGGCAGGTCTCCAGAGAAGTAGTGAGCTTCATAAAGGTCCCGGGGGTCCATCACTTCTGTCTCACGGATCTGGCCAAGAAGAAGGGAAGGCCTGTCAGCCAACAGTCTCTGAAGTCCACTCAGCCAGCTGACTGATGGGACAAGGAGTCAACCCCCAACACCAGGCCTATCTAGAACACAGGATAAATGTGTGTCCTGACACAAGATGGGCAGGGCTGGGGGCTTAAGGAACGTAGCCTGAGCAGAATGGGAAGGTCAAGGCCAAGCTCAAACCATTCTGGGTCTGCTGCAGGGGAGCCAGAAGACACAGCACTCACCCTGGGAGAGCCGTCAGTCAAAATGCAAGAAGGTGGAAGATCAGGATGGCAGGACTCACCCCTCTTCTAGGCATTAGGAACCACCATAACCAAAGCTTCAGGAGCTTCAATAAGAGGTGAAAAAGCAAATGTGGGATACAGTGGACCTTGGGATGCAGGCATTCCAGCCCAGCTGCTAATTTGCTAGGTGACTTTGTATGACCCTAGGTATGATGTATCCCCCATCCGAATGTGTGAGCTCCTTGAGGGCAGGATCATATTTTTGCCTGATTTTGTGTGCCCTATGCTTGGTATGGCACCTGGCATACTGTGAGCAATTAACAAGTGTTTGTTGACTGATCACTTCTCAGAAGCTCAGTCTTCCACTCTGAAAAAAAATAAAATGTCCTCGGGGCAGCTAGGTGGTGCAGTGGATAGAGCACTGGCCCTAAAGTCAGGAGGACCTGAGTTCAAATTCCGCCTCAGACCAAACACTTGACACTTACTAGCTGTGTGACCCTGGGCAAGTCACTTAACCCCAATTGTCTAAAAGCCAAAAAAATAAAAATAAAAAAAAATAAATGTCCTCCACATAGAGGAAGAAGGGAGGGACGGACACAGAGGGATCTCCCAAGCCTGTTGCTTACAAACTACAGAATCTTGACTCCTAAGTATCTGAGGCCTTCAGACTGGATTTCCCACCTGCAAAGCTATGAGGAAATGTATATCCCTCAGGCAGACTGCTCAATAAACAGGCCTGACCAAAGTCACCTTCTGCCAGGAGATGAGGCTGGTCAGGTGCTTTGCACAAGGTGGGAGGGGTGGGGGGGAGTGGCAGGAAGGAGGAGGAGTTCCAGCCATGCTTCCAGCTGCCCCAGGCTCTAGGACTCTGAGGATCTGTTCTAGTAGGTGGCTACAGAAAGAAGACACCCCACCCCCCATCCCTTCCTGCCTACCAGGATACAGGCATCCACACGTTCAGTAATAGAGGAGCTCCTAGTGCCTGCCAACAAGGCCAAACCCACAGGCTGCACGCGGGGGCTAGGAATTCCAGCAGCAAGAGCTCCTGATTCCCAAACCGTGAAGTCATCTCACAGCAAGGGCCTTAACCCCTTTTATTCTCCTCTTTCCACTCAGGGGGAACTGTTCAGAACACTATAAAGAGCCTTGGCCCAGGAAATCTGGAGGCCTAGGTTCTACTCCTAGCCCTAGTCTCTTCTCTGACCCACTGACACTTACTTAGCCTCTCTGAGAGAAGGCTCACTTCCTTCTCTGATAAATCATGGGGTAGGAAGAAATTAGAACAAAGTTCTATGATTCAGAGCTGGAGCTGCCCGGGGGGGGGGGGGGGGGGGGGTGTGCTTTGTGATGCAAGTAACCAGCTCTGCCTCAGTTTGTTGAAGGATTTGTTTGTTTGGGTTTTTTTTTTTAACCTGTCCAAGAGTTACCAATAAAATGAATGTGAAAGTAATTGGAAAATGGCAAAGGGCTATCTAAACACATGGGTATGACACAGCCAGACCCAGAGAATCCAGGCAGGATGAGTGGCCACACTCGTGTGCTCACACACATACAACCTCTGAGTCAGCCAGGCTCCTGGCACCACCCAGACCCAAGGCTCTGAGTCCCAAGGCTCAGCCATACCTCCCTACAGAGCCAGCCAGGCCTGTTCTGGACTTCTAACAGCTTCCAAAAAAGACCTGGTTCAGGCTTGGCTGGGAAAGAAAAGGTGTCAGGGCTGGGGGAGGGGGACTGAGGAGAGGGAGAAGAGAGGAAGGAGGCAGCCACACTTTCCCATCTGAGTCAGGATCAAGCATTTACTGGATCTTAGAATCCCAGAATTTAAAATGGAGAATGTCGGAGCCGAAAGGGAATATACAGAGAGAGGGCCATTCCCTTGTGCCTGGAATGCAGGCCTCTCTCCTATCAGCATGTCGAAATCTATTTTTCAACTTTCTCTGATCGTACCATCTTAGGAATGCCCTTTCCCTGGTTTCCAGCACCCTCAGCCTCACATCCTATTTCATCTGTGGACATGTTTAACCTCTCCTAGAAGACCATAAACTCATTGAGGACAAGATTTGTACACAGTAGGTACTCAAGGTGTGTTTATTTTTGCTGATTTCTGTCCAACACTGAACATGGGAGCCAGCAGGATCTTTATAAATGATATAACCCAATTTCTTTCTTTTACAAAGAAGAAAATGGAGGTCCAGGAGAAAGGTGACTTGCTATAGGTTATATAGGGCTAGAGGTTGGCACAAGACCAGTGATGGGGCTCAAGCAAGCTGCCAGTTGGCCAGGTGTGAGTTTACACCTTGAAAATAGGCAAACTCTACTCTAAGAAAGGGTCAATAACACAGATTAAACTTAAATGTGTGTCTTGCATTTTCCCCCTGGAGAGGTGGTTGTTAAACATATACCAGCACACTCCTGCCTAGAATCCTAGGCCTAAGGAGGTAGTATATTAACATGCTCTGGGTACTGCCAGCACCAGAGGTAGGTGTAAGCCAGGGCCAAGATGGTGGCAGCAAGCCTCCGGCCCCTGGAGGCTCACGGCCAGCCTTCAACTCCCTCCTAGCCCCTCCTTGTGGCCCCTTTTTACACAGGGCCCATTCAGCACAGGGTAGCTTTCTTTCAGAACTCGGGCCACCCAGCAGTCTATGTCTGCAGAAGCATATACCAACAGTCCCCAGAGCCTAGCCCAACTACAGGACAGGGACCACGTGAGGGAAGGTCATCCTCCCGGGAAGCAATTTTCGTGTTGTATCTCCATAACTTCTCTAAGCCAGTCTGCAGTTTCTCTGCCTCCCTGTTCTCACCACTCAAGAAAGGTACCCTCCCAGAAAGAGACATAGGGTTCTCTTGGCCTTTGCTGGGCTCCAAGGACAAAATGTTGCTGAACCTCATAGCCTGGACTGAGAGTCAGGAAACCTAAGCTTGAAGCCTAGCTTGAACATCTATTATAGCTACATTAGGTAAGTCACCACCTGATTATGTTCTTTAAAAAAAAAATGGGGAAAATGCTAATACTACCTCTTCTCCCAAGTTTGTTAGGAACAAAACACTAAAGAAATGGGAACTACTATTATCCTAAAGTCTCTTCAAGTTCCTAGACTCAGAACTATAGAGTGCTGGAGGGTCTTCCTCAGGCCACTTAGTCTAACCCCCTTATTTTATCCATTAGATGTTGTCCAAAATCACAAAGACAGCAACTATCAGAAGCAGAATTTGAATTCAGGTCTTCAACTCCAGAGCCAGAGGGGCCCTTCACATTGGATCATGCTGCTTCCAAATGCCAACAAAAGGCTTTACACACACAGAATCAGAGCCCGACCCCTTTTAGGGATTTGTCCGGTCCCCTCATTTTATATGAGGGAAAACTGACTTGCTCAAGGTCAAAGAACTAAGGTCTTTTTATGACATGGCTATGGCTACCCTAAACTATGACAGGATACAGGGTGGAAGAGGAATGATAAAAAAAGATGGTGACTCCCAACCCTTAAGGACCCCTATGGGCCAGTAATACCGGGCTTACAGTTATAAAGTACTCGAGGAGACGACCCTCAGGGTTGGGGTAAAGATCCAGCATTAATTCCAGTCAGTCACCAGGAGTCAGAAGATCTCTCACCTCTACCCACCCAGGAGGACAATAGCATCAGAGGCCAGTTATTCTGGCTACGAGACAACAGGCCCAGGCCGCCCAGGAGCCCCCAATACTAGAAGGAAGGAAGGAGAAGAAGGCAGGGGCACAGATGCTTCCCTGCAGGCTCCTGGAAGAAGCCTGCCCGTGGGCAAGCCTCAATGTCCTATCACCCACCAGGCTCTCCACTCCACCTCTCCTCCCTTTGCCCACAGAACAAACATAGCGAACATCTAGGTTGTTTAAAGTACTGTTTAAACGGAAACTTGGCCCTTTCTCGAGAGGGCTCTAGGCAGGGCCTGGTTAACTGTTTGTGAGGTGAGGAGAGAGGGAAGGGCACGTTCAGGGAAAATTTCTAAGACTTGGCTCCTGGGGTTGGAGGAAAGGGGCTAGGAGTTAGAGACTTTTTGCTTCCTCCACTCCTTCTTAGGGTCAGAATGTTTGCTGGTTAATGGGGCTGCTCCAAATAATGGAGTGGGTCCTGCTGTTCCTCTGGCTCTTGGGAATCACTGCTTGTCTATAGTTCAGCACCCACTGGTAAAAGCAGAGGGACCCAAGGAAGAAACCCTGCCCTTTCCCCACCCCATAGGATGAAATGTGCCCAGGGAATAAGGACCCAAGTGTCCCCCAACACCCACACTGGGACCGACTGTTCCATTCAAAGCACTGCAGTCCCAGTTCATCTGGGATCTTCAGGCTCCCTGCAACCACTCCCTTTGGATTTTTCATACCATTTTGCCTTATACATCTCAGATTCACTTATTCACTTAACCAGGAAAACCTGATTATACTCCAACAGCCTTCTTTCTCCCTCTCACCTCCTTCTGGCTTAAACAGACTGCGCTCTTATCAATTCTAACATGCAAGTATCTATTATATGCAAGGGCAATGCTGGACCTGATGGAACAAGACATAGTCCCCATCCTCAGTTTACAGTCTAATTGTAGTGTGCACATACATACAGAAAACATGATAAAAGCAGAATTATGGCAAAGAGATGAACCATTTAGGGGAGAGATGCAGAAGAAAAATCAGAGAAGGCTTCATGGAAGAGGCAGCATGTGAGCTGGGGTTTAAAAGGAAGAAAAGGATTTCAAAAAGCTACGGTAGAGGGGGAATAGTCTGAGGGA